GTGGAGTGTAACCGACCGCTGCTAAACAAAACTGTAAATGATTGTAAAGTCTTGTAATGATATGCTTATTATAATATTGTATCAATAATCTTTATTATTATGACAAAAATAATCGATTTTTAAAAAAGCAATAGCTTAGTTTTTTGCCCGTTCTTCTCAGATGGAATTGCATTAAAAAAAGGACTGTAGAATCATAAAAAATAACTATACAAAAAATGCTTTTATTTACGTTTATTCGAAGAAAATTCTTTTGATTTTCTTTCATAAAGTTTATATTCATTTATTGCTTTTTTTGACAATCTTTCATAAGGACGGACATTAAAGCTATGTCCTTGCTAATTGTGAATACATTTAAATGATTCTTTTCATTAAGATTCTGTTAAGATATATTTTTATGGAACGATATCTTAATTTATTACTATTGAAAAAAGGAAACTAGTAGCTAGCTCACACATATATAGTAGATAATAATTGCTACCTACATTTACATATAAATCATGCATATCAAAGAATATTTGCCGCTAATAATATTTTTGGCGATTTACATCAGTTGAACTTTTGCGTCACAGATTTCACTGGTTATATATTTATTTGTATATCTATAATATTCATTGCTGTCATATAATTTAGACTAAGAAGTTAAAAACTCATTTTTGACAACAGAAAACTTGGGGTTTGCCAAAGGGCAATGGAGCGTAGAATATTGGGTATATATATCAATTGTGTTCCACGTAAAAACGACTTCAGTTGTAGCAAATTAAATTATTTTGATTTAAAAATTAAAATACTGAACAGATTTTAATAAAATTTCAAAAACCTTTTAGATAAAAAAAATCAATTTTCCAAATCGGTGTACAACTGACGGAGTTATATAGTAACAAATAATAAAAAAAAACATACAACATTATGAAGTAAATTGAAGACTAGTTGATACAGTCCGTAATAATATACTGCGCTCTCGTACAAAAATTGTTGACGCAGCACAAAAAACGGCAACACTGAATTGGAACTGAGCAAGGCATGTGAGTCGCATACCAAAAGACAGGTGAGCCAAAATATGCACATTTTGGCTCCCTAAAAAACAAAATTAAGTCGCGGATGATCTCGTATGCGATGTACAAATGACCTCGAAAGATTCTATAAAGACTGGTACGGCTTAGTCAGCGATCGTGCAAGAAACAGTTGAAGGTGACCTTTGCCCAGCAGTGAGACACCATGAGCTTTATTTGATTGTTTGATTAATTGACCAGTTTTTTTTTCCTTTTATACAACTGAATTATCGACAGTATTAACAAAAGTTATTTTTAGAAGAATGACTTGAACAATTCCATAGTAAACCTGTTATAGGAATGCAAATTTTAGGCCGAAGTCTTACATAAGTTATAAATAAAGATTTATTATTGTAACTGTCTACGATAATTTAGTAGCAGTATTGTATAATGTAGTAGTTTTAGAGGTTTATTTATAAGCTCCTTCTAATTTTGCTGTGGCAACAATATAAACCGGCAGTTCGTACTGCCAGATAGAAAATTTAGGCAGACATATATTGATATTAGAAACTAAAATATATTAAACGCCATTTTAGCTAATATTGAATTGTGTATGTCACTGAATTAAGTCTTCATTTCTACGACAAATGAATACTTAATAAGAACAAATTGGTGGCGAATTAGCAAAGTTTCAAAATCGTTAACTACAGTGATTACTTTCGTTTGTAACTAATTTTAACCTCTCATTTTTTTATGTTTTCTATAAATTTTCCAAAACGTGTGATATTAACTGTCTTTTTGTTTCATTTCGTTTTTTTGCTCTTCTGTAAAATTCAATAATTGACTCTTAACACATTTTGCCTTTCCAACGTTAATACGTATAAATTGTCTCAAGGTTGTCACTTTACGAGAAGATTTTGGCACATTCAGCTTACGTTATACGGATGCGTTTCGTAACTATAATTGCATATAGTAGACTGCAGATATCCAATATCTATTCTTAACTCAACCAAGTTGTCTATTCCTCATCTATCAAAGGTAATTGTTCTATAGTTTATTATTTACTTCACAAATTTTGAATTCTACTGGAAAAAATATGAAAATATAGTAAGGTTTGTGTGTAAATTTGGTAAAAAAAATATTTAAAAAATATTATACATAGTACACGCATTGCCAAAATAATAATGCTATGTGATTTACATATTTATAGAGTTCTAAAATGCTAGATAAAGTACTAGGAGAGAAAAACGATACAAGAGATATATTTAATTTATTTTACATGTTGTAAAAAAATATTTGGTTATAAAATTAATCTCATTCCTTTCCTTTAATTGATACAACTTACAGGTTTGTAATATTTGTCTTCAATTTATTAGGAAGACGATAACGCTATTGTTTGTATGTTTTTGTTTGGGATTTTTTGCTTTAGAACAAGTAAGCAACATTTTCATGGAAATAGAGAAATTATTAGGGATAAGTTATAAATAGATGTATCATACATAAGACATTTCTCTAATAGGGAGCAATCCGACTGCGGACGTACGATGTCGTTGTACTCTTTATATCGTTGACCGCATACGGTTAGAATGCAGTTGATGAAGTCTAATCTGGAGATTCCATAATTATTATCATTTGTTACTGCATATTGTAATATAACCTATCTAAGTATTTATTATAATAACGACTTTTCATGCTATCTCCATTTTTTATGGGTTCTTACTAACTTTTAATTTAGAATAAGCAAGAACCACATTACGATTGAGATAAAACAAAATACATCAGTCGAGTCAGGAATACAGTTAGGAGACGAATAAAGAATGCTTTACCTATAAGAAGAGATGTAATATAATAAATATATGAGTTCAAATAAGGCAAAAGTCCGTCTATGTTCACTCAACTCAGTCGTGTAATGTCGACGCTTTAACATCTTAGGATTGTTTGCATTTGAAGTAGCAACTGTAGTTAGTTGACTCCATTGAACAAATAGTCTTAGATAGGTAGGTAGGTAAATTTTTATATTTTAAATAATAAAGAAATACTATTGGATACAGTGAAACCAGCCTTAAAAACCGGTGCGTCATTTCGAAAAATTAAGAAAAAAAACAAGAGAGATGTGAATTTGTGTTATATTATTTAGAGATAAGAAATTATAAAATTTAATATTATATAATAATGGTCGATGACTTAAATGTTTTACCTGATCTTTCTTTTTAGAATTATTATTTAAATTAAGAACACAATTGTTTGTCATACTCGGAGTTCCGTATGTAGTCCATACAGTGCCTGTTACTGCATCTCGTCACGTAACTTCATAAATTTTTACTATATCTAATGTAAACAGCTTTAGTGTATTGACAGCGGCGGCTATTCGGTCGCCATATTGAGATTCGATATTCGAGTTTTGAAATCTTGATATTAGCGTTTTATAGGTTAATCTTTCATATAGATAAAATTGAAGTATCTGTATTAGATAGCATAGTTTTTAAATTAGATCATTATTATTAAAAAGCTGATAAAATGTTACGTGTGTGGTTAACACATTTTTTTTCTTTATCCTTATCAATTAGTTCTTCATTTTTATTATCTACTAGCTTTTACCTGCGACTTCATCCGCGTTACCGTATTATGTTTACTGATTAGGATAAAAAGTAGCTTATATCTTTCTCCATTCCAAACACTACGTATATACCAAATTTTATAGAAGTTGGTTGAGCTGTTAAGGCGGTAAGAGGTAACAAACAAATCTCACTCTCACATTTATAATACTAGTAAGAATTTAGTTGAAATAATAAGTATATATATATTAAAGAAATATCTGATATAGCGAGTATTTATGGCGTCTCCATTACTAACAATTGCTTCCCTCTAACAAGTGGGCATTAAGCTTGTTTGTCTTCTTAATAATAAAAAAAAGAGTAATTTATCAGCTGTTAACTATTGACCACATGCCTCCCCCTAAGGTGGGTTTTGCCAGTAGTTGCCACGATTGGCAGGCGAGTTGACACCACAGTTGGGTTTGGTGATGTTTTAAGGGAGACGCTGCTGCCGATCCCTCAACCATTAAATTTCCTTAGTCGCCTCTTATGGCACTCATAGAAAAGGAAGGAGTGGCCCATTCTATGCTACTACCATATGGCAATGTTATTGGAATGTTTACCGCGTTTTAAATCGTAATATATAATGTATAAAAAAGATTATTTTTAAAAATATGTATTTTTCAAAATATCGAGTAGTTGAAAACTTTGTCCTTTGTAATGAACAATTTTCTTATTTTAATTTTTTTGAACGATGGTTATACACCATCGTTATAATATGTAAATAATGTATTATATATATATATATATATATATATATATATATATATATATATATATATATATATATATATATATATATATATATATATATATATATATAAAATACCTAATGGATAAGATGGATATTACAAAGAAAAATTATTTAAAAAAGATACATAATAGACAAGTTAAAATAATCAAAGTAACCAAATTAAGGTTACTGAATAATATTAGATAATTAGTGTTTAAGATAATCTTGATTTTATTTTTGTTAATTTTCAATAACAACAACATTCATTATCGCCTATTACTCCTTTGTTTTTTCAATTTCTCCACTGTATTAAAACATACAATGAAGTTGGTAAAATTATATAATATACTCGTGTATAAAATAATTTTATAAATAATACATCCCTTTACATCATACTTTTTTTTTTATACCTGGCATATTTAGTTAATAATCTTGACAACAATATAAAAAATATTTAATATTTTTTTTCTATTCTGTTAATTAAATAATCAATTTTGAAAAAATGGCGTGCCTAATTATATACTAATTAAGTTTTATGCTAAATATAAAAGTAGATTATAGGTATACTCTTGTAGGTATTACTAAGTTTAAGTATTCTATTTTTTATCCGCAGATTTTTTAAGTGCACGTTAAAATATTATATATTTCTTAAAAAAAAAAAAAAAACTGTAGAAAAATACTTACAAAATATTTTTCATGGTGTTAGACTTATCCAAAAAGGTTTTCACTTATAGAATCACTGTATCTTACACTTTTTCACTATACATAACGATCACAAAATATCTTACTATCTATTTAAAAACACGCGTCAGGTACAAAAAACATCGTTGAAAGTCGCAATTTTAATATGCGTGCGCGCACCCACTCATCTGGGCGCTTAATCATTGACTGGCGCTTGCGAATTGCGACAGCGTTGCCAGATGGGATTTTTAATTTCTACTCAAATCTCAAATAACTTTTCTCCAAATTGATTCGATTTCTTTCACTCTTATCTGATCAAAACCATGTATTTTTTTGCTACCATCTTATCATGTACTCCCTACGTACAAGAACGACCAAAAAAGTATACTATAAAAAACGTTATTTATTAATAACGTCTGATTCCTTGACTTTATTTTAATATTTATTCGTTGGATCTATATATTGTTAAATGCGATATATAACTACCAAAATAGTTGAAAAAAATTACTTAAATTTCTTTACACCTATTTAATGTTTCTCCAAAAATTTTTCCAATACAAAAATTTTTACCTGAAATTGTGAAAAAATACCCTATCTGGCAACGCCAGTTCGCGAATATGTATGCGCGCGCGCCGGCGTTTACGCGGCGTGTGTCAGAGCTTACAGCTTCAATTAATAAATTTTATGACACTTCGCTAACGACAAAGTTGCACGTCACTGCCTCTAACCTTATGTCTACACTCAAGGAAAATGTCAGTCTGCTTTTATATATTAGTTCACGACTTGTGATTGATAATATCTAATATGAATGTGAAACTGTTATTGTATTAGAATAGCGCCATCTAAAGGTATTTCAAAGGCCCTTTTCTATTATTATTATTATATTCGAGCAGAAATTTAAACATAAAGAAACAGCCTAAGTAACTATCCATCGTACAGTTCTATTGAACTAAATTTTATCTAGAAAAGATCGACCGAATCAGTGTGCACGGAATAACACGAGTCGCTATTTAATATGTGTTGAAGAGATGAAAATAAGTTTGATTTTTTTATACATTCTGAAGTCTTAACAGCTCAATGAATGTTATGAATTTTGATGTAAACAAAAGAAAGGACATCGTTTACTCTTTATTTCTGTTGCGCAGACGAAGTTGCGGGTAGATCTATCAGTATAGTAATAACAAATCTGCACAGATCTTGCAATAAAGCTATGAAATTCAATTTATTATCTGGTTGTCTAATTTAACGAAACACAACACGTAAAAATATTCACGCCATTTACATTTGGGGGCACGGCAGTGCCCTTGACCAAGCGAATGTACAAGATACATGTATGTGTATAATTTATTTATGGTAATAAATTACGTTATTTATGAGTCTCCTTTATGTTTATTATGAATCATGATAGGTTTTTTTTCTAATAAAATCATTTACTGAGTCTATTCTCTTATTACTTATGTAAAACTCAGAGGTCTCAAACTTGGAATTTTTACATAAGTAATAAAGTTTACGTAATAACCCGAGTTAAAGTTTCATTACAGTTTAAATTATGTTATTAATTAAAATATAAGATTTAATAAGAAATTAGTCTACACAGAAAATACAAAGAATATCCAGAAATATACTAAATATACTAAATACAGAAAAATACTTCAAGTTATTGATATTAAAGTCAGAAACGAAGAAACAAATGCCACGATATTTTTGATTTAACATTCAATTAAATTATAGTTTTAGCTCTACTTAGAATTACTCAATTTTTTACGAATTTTCAATTGTGATGTGTGACTTGGCATATTTTTACATTTTGATATTTTTGGATAAATTATTTCCAATAGGTATATTTATTTGGGTTTTGTATCACAATATTGCTAAAGTCCAACGTTCGGTACCAAGAAATATTCGCGAATAGAATAATAATACCCTAATTACCTTAAAATAGATGGTAATGATGTAATTTATATTTTTACTTACCTAGTTAGGTACATGTAACTCATGCAAAAAGTATATAATAGTATATTTTTAGGGTTACTTGATGAAATGATGATTCTGATTTACGTATATTTAATCCGTAAATGAGAAATTAGGAATATATATATTTTTTATACACTTTAAATTATCAAACAAGCTGACGATCCAACTAATGAAAATAGAAACCGTTATCTATAGATATGGACAGTACCATTTCATAATAATAGACACAACAGAGTATATTGTGTCACCCAAAATACCCCTCATGTGTCACCATTTCTGAGGACTAAGGTGTTATGACTCTATACTCCGTTGTTTCATTGCCATATCCCACTCTTCAAACCTTAACACAGTCATGCAAACACAACTGCTTTACGGCAGAAACAGGAACGAATCAGAGGTACCCAAGCAGATGAGTTTTGTACAGTCTCTAGTGAAGCCTGTGGTTTCTGTAAAGTCTCCCTTATTCGGATAAAAGACACAATACATATGGAGTTTTAGTATGCCTATGATTCATAAAGTAGAGAGGACTTATTTCTGTACATTATAAATTTAAAAGTGAGTTTGTTTATTTTCTCTTAACGGCTTAACTAATCATTATAAAAGGTAGTATACGTGCACCATATGGAATAAAGAAGAACATAGAATAATTTTAACCCGATCATTGAACACATTCCTGTCACGCAAATTAAGTTGTTGTTAAAGGCTAGTAGGTATATAGATTAAATAAAGATGTTTTAAACAGCGAAATCGGTCAGGTATTTATTATACTATTATCTGGAAAATTACAAGTTTTTTTTTTTTTTTATATAATAACAATATGATTTTTTCTCATTTTAAAACAAAAAATGCGTACAAAGAAATGTGACTGGACTACTTTAGAGTCATAAACTGCCCAAGTGACACTCACTTTTACCAATCTGTAACAACCTGCGAGCAATCGACTTTTAAATTTTAATACATGTACGGAACCTCATTAAAGCTTATCCAATACATTCTTGGTAATTTTTTATCGGTTTGCTTGACTTATTAATGCATAGCTTGGCGCCATTTTTTAGACTGTCAATATTGGAAAACAAGCGGACATTCGGAAATTTATTAATGTTTCCACTACCTATAGGTATAAAGAGCACATACAATATTTCTTAAAGTTAGAGATAATAGGCGAGGCGGAAGTTGGGGTAAGTAATATAAAGCAATATCTATAGATTCAATATCGGTTATGCGATATTTAATATCGAAATAAAGAATGTGATCAAAATTAATATGTACGTGCGATAATGAAATGGGTGATGACCTTTCTACCGCTGTCAATGCTCAGAGAAATCCAATATATAAACATCGATGAGGCTCCAATATTACTCATACGTAGGCTAAGTCATAGATAATATAATACTACACTAGTAGCTAAGGCTACGCTTAGTAGTAACGAATGTACTGGTAATTAAATGATACTCGTATTATACACGCAGGAAGGACCACATGCAAGTCGACTTACCAGGGTATATTGCTAGCAGTAGTTTTTTTTTATAAAAATGTAATGGTAACATCCCTTGCACTACCAATGTACTCAAGCTAAGAGGGTGAGAAGCTATTGTTAGTAATGGAGACTAAAGGCTTCGTTGCTAGCAACATACACAACCAGGTCGACCTCCACGTGTTCCCCCTGGAAACTATCGTGTTGATTTCCAGGTGTATTTATCACGATAGGCTAACTGACCTGCTTACATCCTCACCTATCATCCTTAACTGGTACCCTGCCAGTGTTTACCATTAGTGCGGGCAGGGTTACTTTTCCATTGTCACTCAAGAGAAAAAAAATACACCAGCGAGTACAAGTGAAAAATCATAGGTGAGGATTAAAGCAGTTCATTTAGTCCAACATGATGAATACATAAAGAATAAACCGTGATGGTGTCCAGTGAGAATTACGTGGAGGCGACTTGACAAGACATATTAATCCCAAATACTAATAATCTCTTCTCTCTCTGCAATACAGCTCTTTCTTTTTATTGCTAAAAAATGTATGTTTTTCTTTACACCAGGAATGTATGGACTGACGCTTCATAGGAATAAACCTTCTTAGGAGTAGAAAAATGAATGGTAAATCTGTCTGAGCTGTTAGTGATACGTCAGGATAGTTATAAAGTGAGGAATTTTAGGTCAGGATGAAGGCAGGCTACTTGCAGAATCCTCCTCTCTCAAAGAGACTAAAAATACTAGTTTGCCCATAATTGTGCACATCACACGCGTACGCGTTCACCATATTGTGTTGAATTTGCTGACGGTATGCGGCATCACAGTGTAATAATTGTTATTAATTTTGATTGCTGTTCTTGACGGCGCGGGATGTCTCTAATTTCTCGACTGTATATAAAAGCTGTTACACAATGAACATAGTTTAGAGACATTATTGCAGTAGTATATAAAATATAACAATATCCTATATACTCATATCTTAACATATCAAGTAATATAGATGTCCTTGAGTTGAGTGATCTACAAGATAGGTTATCCTAGTACCGACACCAGTTTCTCACAAAGATTGTTTTAATTTGTAATCTATGTAGCTGTAAGTTTTATTATGTTGTTATTTTGTGAAAGAAATAAATATATATTTACTTACTTATTATTACTGTTATCCTTACTAACCTCACTAATAATATAAATGTGAAAGTGAGTTTGTTTTCTTCTCTTTTTGTCATTTCTAAACGCTTTTGCTTAATCAACCTCTGTGAAATTGGGTATAGAGGTATTATATGAGACGGAAAAGGATATAAACTACTTTTTACTTTAGTTAGAGAATATATCCCGGTCAGGCGAACAAAGTCGCGTGGAAAACCTAGTATTAACATAATTGAGCACTCATAGACTGAATAATCTTACACATGATATAGAAAACATGTACAGAGTTATGTAAGTACCTACAAGACAGTAAAAATAAAGAATATATTTATTATTATATACCAGATGGAATACTAATACAATAAATAATACTTGAACGTATTGATCTTACAAGGGCTAGAAAAATATTGTAACAATACTGTTGTCTTCATAAGACACATTTATAAGATAGATTTTCATCTAACTTTTTGGCTAGTTACTATTTTATTGTACTGACATAAATAAAATACCTACACATACATTGAATTGTATCTAAGAACCTAAATATTGAGATAAAATTTAATATTCTATTTTTTTTAATATAGTATTTATTTGAACATATTTGATATATTTATTACACTATGAATATAATTTAACGAAATATGTTTTGTTATATTTTTTTTTGTAATACGGGGGACAAATGAGCATGCGGCTCACCTGATGATGTAATGTTTAGGTAATGTTATTAACTGTAATTGTTTCCCCGGTTTTTTTTTTTTATTTATTGTATGTGTAAAATATATTTGTATAAATGATCTAATTATTAGGCACATAAACATCATAATACGTGCCTATCAATAAAATTCTTACAACTTCAGATCACAAAGCAACATTTTTGTACTTCACGACAATACAAGAACTGTAAGTTGTAAAAAACAATAGCGAATGAATGTATCTAAATCTAATAATAATAATATGTTGAAATAGAATCAATACAATTCCCATTATTGTAAATTTACTGTCTGGTTCGCTGGAACAGGTTTTTCGAACTCGAA